AGGGCTTCGAGACCCGGCCTTCCCTGGGCTCTGCGTCCTCTGTCCCCACCTCTTCTGATAGAACGTGGTGCAGTCCCTGGTCAGACCCTGTCCCTGCATGGCAGGTCCCCGCCTCCTCCCTGGATTCTCTGGCTCCCTGTGTCCTGTGAACCCTGACCTTAATCTGATTCGGTGAGCCACGGAAGCTCAGGAGTAGTGAGAAAAGTGTTCTTCCAGGTAGAAATCCCCAAGTCCTTGCCAGCTCTCTGTGCAGTCAGGGACCCAGGACCATGGACGAGGGGTTTCCTTGGGGCTCCTGAGTGAATGGAGCAGAAAGGTTGTGATCTGGGGTGGCCTCTCCCCATCTCAGACACATCACCCTCAGCTCTGTTATCTGTTTGTTTGTTCAGTTTTCCCCAGGGCTCATGTGCTCACCCAAGGGAGCAGAGAGAAGGAAAGGGAGACGTCAGCCCTGCAGGGACGGCCTCCTCCATTCTCCTCCAGACTTTGGGCTCGCACACATATGCACCTGATGTGATCCTCAAACCACTGGGTCTGGGACTTGAACTGTGTGATCCATGTGAGACTCAATCTCTGCATCCCCTGCTGGCCCCTTATCATCCATCTCATCTCTTTACCTAAATCTTCTTTAAGTTAGGTATGCCTAAAGTTGTGGGGCTCAGGGGCTCCACACATACATATATATACATACATACACACACACATATATACATACATGCATATATATGTATATATATACACACATATGTACACACATACACACATATACACACATATTACACACATATATACACATACACACATATACACACATATGTATACACACACACACATTTTAGTGTGTGTACATTGCCAAAGAACATGTGCACTTGCCAGAGAGAGGAGAGAGAGAAACACCCTCCCCAGTGGGTGTGGTGCTGCTGCAGTCTCCTCCCTGTCTCTCCACTCTGTCAGGATTTTGGACATACACACACGAAATCCCAGTGTGTGGTTTTTGGTGATTTTTTTTTGGAGAGATTTTCACTGTAGGGCGCGTGCGCTCACCAGACAGACAGAGAGAGACATAGAGACAGAAAGTGAGAAATCACCCCCAGGGGAGATGGTCACGCCGGAATCCCTTCTCCTCCATTCTCCTCTCGGGATCTTGGGCACACACGCACACGCGCCCGGCGTGAGTTTAAGCCATCAGGTCCGGGACGTGAACTGCGGTTGACTACGTGGGAATCCAGTGACATAGCCATTACGCTAACTGCTGGTTCCCCCAGTGTGTTTTCGAGCCATGGGGCCAGGACTCCAGCTGTGTGGTCAGCCATGTTGGATTCAGTCCCCTAACTGCTAGGCAATGGGGCCGGCCCCCAGTTGGGTATTTTCTAATGATGGTAAGACAATGGGACAGAAAAACAGTATTTCTGCCTTTTTGAAGTGTGGATGTAGGTGGGAGGGCCTATAACAGATATATGTAAGCAAAAACGTGTAACATAAAACAGTAAGTGTCTGGATAAATGCTCATTTTATAAACAGATAAAGGAACACACAGTCACGCAGTAGCATATAAGGTAAGCCGCCATCGAAACATCTGTGTGCACACTTAGGCATTAGTGGATTTACATATTACCTCACGTATATTAAAATCGAGGCAACACACAGTGGCATATAATTCAGAAAGTAGTTCAATTATCTTCAGGTTGATAGATATTTTATCAGGAAACCGGCGGAGATCAATAGAACAAATCAAGGGGAGATATTCCGTTGTAAACTAATGTAAGAAAAATTTATACATATATATATATATGAAACAAGAAATGGAAAATGATGTTGATGATAACATGTATGATTATGCCACTATGCAGTGTATTCTTGTTGAGAAATCACGTTTTGTAACGATACTCAGTGAAATGTAAAATAAACTAATAAAGATATATAATAATAAAAATCAATCAATAAAATTGGAACCAGCACTCATCCCGTGAAGAAAACACCTAGAGCAACAGGACAAGGTGAGGTACAGAAACACCCTCTCGTGCGGGTTTGGAATGGGGACAGTGAAGCGCAGCGACGTGCAGGCCCGGTGTCGCGGGTGAAATGGCTTCACCGGGATGGGGGCACTGCCGACTCGGGGACAGCCTGGAGAGCGGGGGCGCTGACGGCGACGGGGAGCCCGGTGCCCGGCGGCCTGTCCCCGCGGTACTGGAGCGCGAGCTGCCGGCCCCCGCAGGGCACCGCGGCTGCGCGGACCGACGACACAGCCGAGCCCTCCGTCCACGGCGCAGCCGCGGCCCGGGGCAGGCGGGGCTCCTCCCCCGTCCTCGCGCAGGAGCCCGCCCCGTCTGGTCTCGCGAGAACGGGCCAGTTCCCGTCCCGGCGGCGGGGCCCCCGGGAACAC